AATAATTATATACATTTTTAGTTTTATTCTTTTTTATCTTACGACATTATTATCTTTTCCCCATTGCACGTAAAAGTATTACCGTTTACGATCGAAATCTGTCAAAATATGTACCGAATAACAATTTTGTTCGGTTTCCAAGTAGACTATACTATATTAATATTTAACAATCAAAAAGAGCTCAATACTAATATCTTCATAACATGGTAAAYAATGTGTAATTTTTACAGACACAGTGCTCTACAYAATAATATTTTATTGAATCTGACATTATTTTAACCCTGCCATTATAGCAGTATGTGGTTTTTATCAATTTATTTAAAAATATTTTATTATATATACACATATATTATATATCTTGATGTTCTTACTGAAATTATGTTATTTCTTTGCAAAACTAAATACAATTTATCATCAGAGTTCAATGAATTTGGATTTTAACAAATGTCTTAGTATTATACATTATTATAATCTGCATTCAGTCATTCTCTATAATATCACTCAATGCATATATTTCATATTATATTTCAATACACTTTTCAAGTTCCGAGATATAAAATCTCGTTTGTTTTTGAATTTCAAAATTTCAAATCATATTAAAGTTCCAAACTTCACTTGGTTAACTGATTAACGGTTATACTAACTAATATGTGTGCACATGGTCATCGCGATACGTTAGCGTTGAAATGTACAGTGTGGGTCGAGGGAATAGGGCCAAAAACGTTTAGTCATATAACACTAATTTCAGCCTTATTCCCGTAACCCACTCTGTATACATTATATACACACGTATTCGTTAAATGTATTCTGTAATATAACACAACGATTATGTTAAATACTTACGTTAAAGTATATAATATATATACACAACATTGCACGCGAACCGTAATCACATTTTGTCCACAGCCATATTATAATAACGTTGTTTTTCTCCRGCCGTGGCCGCCTTGAGCTCTAGCCGCGTGTAATGCAATGCAATCGTTCTAACTTTCGTTTGACGGAGTGAATTGTTTTGTTTCAGGAAAATGACGGGGCCCAAACAAAACTGAAATTGAGGGATGGAAAAAGCGCACTGCACGGTGCACCGTCAGGCGCTATGGATCTTGTGTTTCCACGTCGTTTGCAGTTTGACTTCCGTTGCGGGTATGTATTTAACATCATTTTTGTTTTACATAATCAAATGTCATTATAGTGTATGCGTTACAATATCGTCTACGAAGTAATAAATCACGTTACATTTTTTTCTCGAAAAAACATGCCTAAATCCGTATAGAATTATGTATACATAATATATTATATATACATTATATACATGATGCACGTGTATGCATATATTTTAGCGAGCAGAGACCGGCTTATAACTTAAGTTAACTGACATTGTGTAGTCCACGCAACAATATATTGCACAAGAAACGTCATGTTTATCGGCGTACAGTAAAGACGCATATTACAATAATTTACAAATAATAATAAACTGTAAGAATACTGTCACGGTTACGTCATTATATGTTATAATATTGCAATGTTTAGATTCAAGAGCACTATAAATTATAATTTATTATACATATATATACATTTTTTTTATTGAGTATGGGTTTCAATATTTGAGGTCATTAGCCCGAGTTATTTTTGTAGTAGGTTGATTTCTGTGATTAGAATACGTGTATATGTGGCAAGGACTTGTCACTAAAATCCGGGTGATTACCCATCCGGTACTAATGGCATCGACCTATGCTTGACTTCAGAACACGATAGTGACTTAGGTACCCACCATAAATCTACAATCAATTATTGATTTTTCCTGTATTATGTGTGGCGGTACTAACACAATTGTATCCAAAGTGAGACCAAAAATTATAATATATTCAACACGGTTAAGCTAATCATATAATACCTTAAGAATTCTGGTTTGATTAATTTTCTTCTGTTATGAAAACTAAACTTATTTTTATGATAAGAAGATGAACTGGGTTTGAAGTCACCATACAGAGATACAATCTAGGCTTACTAGAATACTTTTAAAGCAACTAGGTCGTTGTAGTAATTGTATTCCGTCGAATTTATGTGTAAAAGTATTTTGAAGAAATAACTGATTAGATTAGGTAAGTTTTTTAAATTAACGTTTCACATTTAAGTATACTGAAAAGAGAGTCCAGTGGTAAACCATTGTTAGAAATTATTCTATGAGATATGTGATTTCTTATTTTAACTTACAAAAGAACTTAAAATTATCATTGGAAAAAACTTTGTTAAAATCGTATAACTTTGTGACGTCGCTAAATATTATGGAGTCCAAGGGGCAAGGCTTATTTTAAATCATTGTTTTTATAACGATAACGTTTTTTTTCAAATTGTAGTTTCAATAATTTTAATATGACAATTCATTGTTAAGTGATTTATCCTTAAGCTATGTTGACAATGTTGAGATTGTAATGATTAATATTTTTTTCAAAAGCCTTCCTATTCAGCCTATTATATATTATTACATTCTGACATTCACTGAAAATGTACACATGCAGCTTTAATGAACCAACATTGGAAATTAGTATCCTTAAAGGCTTATAAATTTCTTGACTTTTTTTAATGTCTTAATTATGGCTTATTTTTATTTTGGTTGGCGTGGTACTCAAATTCCAAATAAGGCTGAAGATAATTAGTAAAATAAGTTCGCCATTTGAGGGTAGTTTAAAAAAAAATATAAAAAGAATTTTGTGATTTTATTTTATTTGACCTCGGAGGGGTCAAATATAACGTAATTAAATAAAGTAATAGGTTCGGTTAGAATATTATTTAACTATTTATCTTGAAAATTCTAAATTCTGCATATTGAATAATTTACATAATATCATGGCTGAGTATAAACAAAACTCTTATCATCTATAAACAATAAGGAATAGAAAGCTCATTGTTGTCTATCCTTGTTTTACATATAACTGAAAAAATTCCCACATTTCGGGAACTATGAATGAAACAGTTTGGTCATTTTCAGACGCAAACATATTAAACACTTAATAAAAAAAATTTTGAAAAAAAAGCGGGATGTCGTGGATGTCGCTTTGCTGTACAATAGGTTACAAGTGGGTTATTGTAATGGATAGAATTAAATTTGAATCCAATGATATTATATCATTGAATAGGTACAAAAAACGATTCTGAGCGGAGACGGTTTATCTGTCGAGGATATATTATAGATTATTAAAAAATTTCAAATCTTAGATTTAAAAAAGAAAAATTTTTATGAATTTCTAGAATAAAATAATTTATGAATTGTTGTGATTTTTACGTATTTTATCAAAATTTGAATGCTTGTAAAAAAATTTTCAACTTTTTCTTCCTAATAAATACATTTTTTATCGATATTAATTTTAAAAAAACTAATAATGATCGAAAATTGCATATGCCTATAAATAATTCAACTTAAGTCGAAATTTTTCGAAAATTGCATGGTGGATGGAATATACTTATATAAACATTCAGTGAAAATTTATGTATCCATGATCATTTGTTTTAAAGTTACGTAACAAACCAAAATCGATTTTGTCGAAAACTAATTGTGAGTAAAATTTCCCATCTTTCCCTTAAGTTTTAGTTTGTTTTTCCCGATTATTTAGAAAAATATTAAGACTTTCTGATCGAACGAGGTACTGAAGTCTAAAATCGAAGCAATTTTACTGCCCCAAAACGTGATGACAGGCACAACAAAAAAATTAATAACGAAATAAATAAAAAAATAAAAACACACATCATGCTAAAATATATATATATATTATAGCAAGCAAATGTAAAACCAAAAACTAAAACAGACTACATGTATAACAATTATTTTCATAGTATAGTTATTTAAATCTTATCGCTTTAAAATATACACAGAATCATTCGTCAATGATTCCATAATATAATTACAAATTCGCATAGACAGTAAAATTTTAATCTTATAGTTACTAAATTTATAAATTAGGAAAATATTTCTTAGTATAAATCAAATATATTATATATTTTATCATTTATTACTTCATTAGAATTTTTACATTATAATATTATTATTTTCTGATAGAAACTTTATTTTTATATGCATTATATTTACGTATATACTCGTATATATTATGCGTATATTTTAAATTTGTTTACCTATCTCAAACAAAGTTTAACAAAGTTTTTTTTTTATAATACCAATAATATCATTCGACATAATATTTGTTGTATATCAACACTTTTATTTTTATTTAAATGTTCTTGTAATAATTAATATAGTCACAAAAGTCGTGTTTTACAAAAAACAAATAAGCCTAAATCTAATTATGCATTCTAAAATTGAACATGTTGTATGACCAAAGCGAAGAAAAAAAAAATTGAATTGTATTTTTTGTTTTGTTGACGGTTGTTTTCCTGAAAACAGTACAGCTGTATAAATTAGGTTTTCGTTTTTTTTTTTTTTAGATTCCGATATGCACAGAGGTCCATTTTTATGTCACATAATTTAACACTAATAATAATTAACGCATCGTATACCTAAATATATTTATACGATAAAATGACCAGTTTGGTTCTATAATAAAACCACTAACTATATATGAACAAATTATATTTTTAGTGTTTTGTATAATTCATTAATCTCAAACATGTAATAATAATATACGTATATTATATATTTTAAAGTAATTTTTGAAAAATCTCGTAACTTTTAAGAGGTTTCTAAAGTATTTTTACTYGAAAGATAATATTATACCTTCAATGTAACTCAGACAATACAATAATAGTAATTTATTTGTGTAATGGTTTAATAATTATAGTTCACTGTCGAAAAAAGTAAACAATTCGTCTTGATATCGATAGTTTGAAAAGTTGAACCACGAAGCATAAGTCATCTAAAATAGTAACGAATTACTTAACTTTCCGTTCAGTTACTAAGAGACWTTTACACTCGTTCTGATAATAATCGATCTTACTATCTTGACCGTGTACCTAACCGAAGACCATCAGTTATCGTTACCCAACGTCGTCTTGTAGCAAATAGAAACAAAATACAAATGCAATGGTGTGTAATTTATAAGCAATCTCTTAAATATATATATATAAGTAGGTCGATTTCCTTAGCTCCGCTGTATCGGAGTTTTCGACATTTTAATATGACGTGACCGGCCACGGTTAAGTAATAAAGGTTCTATACGAATTTTTCATGAAATATAAATAACAAAAAGTTAAGCTCAATTTCATAAAATAATATTTTAATGAGCATTTTATCAAAATAAAGAGTAAATAACCAAACGATTTTTTATATATTGTATTGTTGACTGTTGTAGTTATAAATATAAAGTTCAATATTTTATTTAAAATTTATGTCATGCAAAAATAATTTTTTTTTTAGAAAAAAAAAGTAGTATGACGAATACGAAACGTATTAAAAACGATAGTGAATATCGTAAATCTACGAATTTTAAAAAGTTTAATAATAAAAAGAGCATACATAAGAAATTATTTATGATATAAAATGTATTATAAAATAATAATTTGTTATTTTCCTGTGTCTTAAAATTAAATCTATGTTCCAGCACAGTCCATTTAACATGCCCCCAGAGTTCAAAATATTATGTTTTACTTGTACTACCGATACAATATGCTCATATTTTTTATGGTTGGTAATTTATACCAATAATCAATATTCAAATAACACGGTGTTTGAACACAAACTATCTCACTATTCAATGTCTACCTTTTTGCAGGAAAAAAATTTAGAGATGCTAAGAACCATAATATTTAAGGTCGAACCGAACCCGAACCGAACTTTTCTTTAAATTAACGAACTCGAACAGATCCGAACCTACGCACTTTTAATCGAACCTGAACCGAACCGAACTCTTCAAATATTTTATCGAACTCGAACCGAACATTAAAAGTTAAATTTGATATTATTTTATTTAATATTTAATATTTATTTATTTATTTATTTATCATTTAGCCACCATACCTCAGAATTATTGAATAAAGATTTTACTATTATTTACTTAAATACTTTAAATGCTTTAATAGTTAATAATTATGCATGAGATTTTTAATTTTTAATTATTAATATGATGATAACTGATGAGAAAAAGCGAAAAACATCAATATTTAAAACAAGCAAACATTAAACAACTAATAACAAT